TAACTCTAGTCAGGCTTGAGAACTGCGATACAGGCCTGAGTCCTTTGTCCAGCACACATGGCTGAGGCCAAACAATACAGAGTAAAGGAAACAAACTTTAATAAATAGACTAAGAGAGAAGATGAAACTTCCATCCACCATCTCAGGCTGGGACCCATAAACAAATAAGGTTCCTGTGTAAACAGGAGAAAGATGAGGAAGAGGACAGTGCTTCTGCTCAGTGCAGCTTCTCTCAGCATAATTTATTTGTTAATATTCAAAATAAATGTATTTTTTTCTGACTTGTATTTTCTCTGCATGACAGCATATTACAGCATTTTGTACAGAATCCACAAACAACATAGGTACACAATTCACCATACTTCCAAATGCGAATAGTAGAAAATTACCTCAATAAATCTTTATTCAGCCATTAAACTGAGATAGTTTACCTTTACTTAAAATATGAGGTAAGAGAAACTAGCACATTGCTAGTATCAAACAAAAACATGCATGAACCAAAGACTGACATAATAATATTAACTATACTTAACTATATTTATTCCTAAATGAAATGTACTGGAGCAAAAAATTTGACAGAATTTTGAAATAACCAAAAAGACGATATAATCGGCAGCGCCATCTTAGACTGCACTTGACACAGAGTACACACAAAGTCCCTGCTTCTTCACAAAACCATTCTTAAAACATACTTTCAAATTCGACTTAACTTGCTTTTAGTTTTAAACCAAATTCTTACATGTTGACATGTTTTAAAAGCTTCACAAACCTGTGTAAACAGGAGAAAGATGAGGAAGACGACAGTGCTTCTGCTCAGTGCAGCTTCTCTCAGCATAATGAAGAAGCAACGAGAGTCTGCAAACAAAGAGCGTCCAAGGGAGAAGCACAGCGCCACACTGCCTCCTACTGGCAACACTGATATGTGCAGTTTATTCTAAATTGAAACTCTTCTTCAAATAAATATTTCACTGGCCAACATGGCTCATATTAAAGTGCACCTTTATATTATTTATAAAATAAAACAAACCAGTTATAAACATAAAATGTGACAACACCTTTTGTGTGCGTCACACCTACACTCCGTGGAAATAAGAATGCTGAATAGAAGACAATGAAAATAGAACTTGGCTGGTTGAACTACCAAGATTATGTACAAACAAGTAAGAATGCCTACTGGGGGTGGACAAGAGAGATAGTTGTAAGCAAAGATGATACTGTATCCACCACACTTGAAAAAGGGAAAACACTTTTTTCCCCAACGGTACATTGACTTTCCCCAACGGTACATCGACGAAAGGCAAATTAGAAGACTTTGAGTGCATACTTTATGTCATTGGTTCTGAGGAGCCCCTTGAGGGTAGTGTCACAGTTTGAAGTTTGTTAGCGCAAACTAATTACAAGATCCACAGACTATACCTCTGTACAAAGCCAAAAGATTGTAGTGATTCTGAGCTTAGTGATGCAACAACAGACATGCCCTTTTCACCTGACACATCCAACACACTTGGGCCAGCTACACATACATCTCCATCCTTATCCATCACTGCTCTCCCCCACTCCTGTCAAAAGACCTCGGTACGGCAGTAGGCCTTTCTCTTGGAGCAGTCCCAATACTACCTCAACATTCCAAGCTACTCCTTCTTCTCAAACATCAGGCCAGCCTCTTATAGATCTTTCCAGTGATGATGAAGTTATTGTACTTGGATATGACACCAACATGCCTTGTGAACTTGTCGATGGTCTTGATGACACTCTGATATACTCACCTCTACACGTCAAGACCACAGTAAGTCCAGATTCCTGGCTAGTTAACAGCCAACAAGAAAGCGGCGCAAACACAGTCTTTGAAAATCAAATAGAAGAAGTAGTGGTAGCTGAGATGGAAGAAGATATTATTCACATTGTGGATTCTGAGCAGGCTTTAAGTTCCACCAGCACAATTGCCATTGATTTCTTTGAAAATCCAGAGAATATCGTGGAGAAGCAAGTCATTGTGATCCGCAAAGCACACTGTCTTGTGGACATGATTGAAGCATTTACAGACAACTGCATCCTGGATGCTAATATTTCAATCAGGCGTGTGTTTGAACGTGGCGAGGCTGAGGCTGGAGTTGGGAGTGGGGTCACCAGAGACTGCCTCACTGATTTCTGGGATATGTTTTATGCATCAAAGACCTGTGGAACCAACTACAACAGTGATTCTCAAACTTTTTAGACTGCGTACCACCATTATGGTAGATGTTAAAATATACTGTAGGCCTATTTCTACACACATTTTATGCTGGAGGCAAATATATTCATACATTTTTTTTTGATTTATTATTGACTGTTGGCAGCCACACTATAGGCCTACTAAGGGCTAGCGCTAGAACTGGCACTTAAACGCCAAACAACACTGAAATTTGCCTAAATTAAAAGAAGTGCAGCACAATAAAAATGACAACTTTATACCAACAACCTGTTTGAGAATATTTAGTCTCCAGTGTTTCCCACACAAAGACGATATCTGGGCCCAAGTATATTTACGGCCTGTTCTTATTTAATTATTCAATTATTCATAAAATTGCTGCGTGTGTGTGCACGAGAGAGAGAGAGAGAGAGAGAGAGCACGTGAGAGAGTGAATGCGTGAGAGAGTGCAGGCTCCGTGCAACCAGAGCCTCTGAATTATAAGGTTCTGCGTTCAACATAGCAAAAAAAAATCCTTCTCGACTCCTGCGCATAGTTAAGACAGCAAAATAGAGCAGAATCACATCAGCTTCAGAGCAAGAGAGAGAGATAGAGGGTGAGCGACTGTCCGTACACTCTTGTAAATGCATCACAACGGAAGCATCTCCTGGCTCCGTTTTGAAAATGTTAATGTACAGCTGCTTGCCACCGATTCTGTGCTGATCTCCAATAAGTAACAGAATATCTGTTAATGTAGGCCTACAGCTGCTTTGTGTTGATTTAGTACTGAACTCTTATAAGTAACGGAATATCGAGTGGAACTTTTCAAAACTACTCCTGGTGTTTATGTCTGTGCGCATAAATTGAGAAGATTGTTTGTTGCAAAAAACTAGATTAATTTAGAGGGGAAAACACATTTGATATAAATACAACCCAATAGATACAAGCCAGATAAGATAAGAGTATAGTGTTTTATGCTGAACGTTTTTTGTTTTTTTTATCCCAATTTTGCACCACAAATTCCAAGAGAAAGAGTGGACTGCTGTTGCTCGCATCATGGCCTTTGGATGGCAGAAATTTCAGTTCTTTCCAGTCCAACTTCCCCCTCCATTCCTTACAGAGGCTCTATCTCTCTCCTGTTCAGACAATCTACTAGAGGCTTTCTTCAACTATATCAGCGCAACTGAGAAGAATGTGCTAACTGAGGCAATTAGCAACTTCAAAGGGGCAGATATGGATGAACTCCTCAGCATACTCAGCAGTCACAACTGCTGTGTACTCCCAACTGAAGAAAATCTGCCAAGTCTGGTGGAGGAAATAGCCCACAAAGAGATGGTACAAGAACCAGCATTTATCATAAGTGTTTGAAGCCAATTCTCAGTCTATTGGACAATCCATGAGTTGGGAAGGACTGAAGAACATTCTGGATGATCTCAAACCCAAGGCAAGAAACATTACCAAAACCATCAAGTTACCAGGATCTATGTCACTGGAAGAACAAACTACCTCAAATCATCTCTTGAGATTTGTAAGAAAAAGAGATGAGAAGGAGCTTGGCCTATTCCTCAGGTACTGCACAGGGTCTGACTTGTTCCTATCTAAGACCATTAAAGTCACATTCACAGCAGAACAGCCACAGTTCGCAAGGGCACCTTTGGCTCACACCTGCAGTTGTTCTTTGGAACTGGCATCTAACTACAAAGACTATGGAGATTTTAGAACAGAATTCATCTCTGAATGGAGGTATTTGAAGAGTGGATTGTAGGTAATGGATTTGGCCTAAAACGGCTTTGTTTGCTTAGACAGCAAAAGAAAACTGTGCGTGCACACTCACTCAGAACTTTAGCAGCGTCATCTTTTATATAATCCTCAAGTTCTACATGTGGAGGGCAGATGCATCGTTGTAGTAAAAGAAGGTAGAACCTTTTCTTTTAAATGTATGATCTCTTTAAAATTCAAATATGACAGCTGAAGGCACTGTGGAAAAAAAGTCACACTTGAGTTAATATTTCAATAAAGATATATTTCATAAATTACAGTGTTTGTAATGCTATACAGATCTTCAAACCTGGAAGAGTTTACATTGCCAGTACTGTTCTATGTTGTCAGTGTCAAATTCAAAGTGCTATATATACATTTTTCTAACCACAGTTAAAGGACCAGTCTTACCTCTTTTTTTTAAGATTTATTTTTGGGCTTTTTGTGCCTTTAATGGAGTGATAGGACAGTGAATAGAGTTGTAAACCAGGGAGAGAGAGTGGGGAACGACATGCGGGAGGGAGGCCATGGGCGGGGATGTGAACCTGGGCTGCCTGCTTGAGATGACAGCCTCAATACATGGGCCGCACGCCCTAACCATTGCACCACCAGCGCCCCACCAGTCTTACCTCTATCTAAAGTTATACAAATAAGCTGGTGACCACTGCTGTCAACTGCAAAAACTCAAAATCTTACCAAGAATATTTGTCTTATTTCTAGTCAAAACAAATCTCATTACACTTAAAATAAGACACATCACCTAAAAAGTCATTTGATTTCCACATGTTTTGCTTGTTTCAAGCAAATTTTCACTTGAAATAAGAAGAAACTCCATGGAGTTAGTTTTTTTTGCTTGTAATAAGAAAAAACACTGACTCCATGGACAAATTGTTCTACTTATTTAAAGTGAAAATTTGCTTGAAACAATAATCATGTGTTTTATTTATGACACATTGAAATGAAGAAAAGATTGATCATGCCAAGCCATAAAGTCATCCACAACTGCCTCATAACCCTGCTCTCCCCCATCAAGAAGGCTGACAATCAAAGTAACATCAACACATTTCCCAATGTGTCTGTTTTTGATAGATTGATTGATCTTTATTGTCATTGTAAATTTATACAACGAAACTCTGTAGAAGCAATCCAGCTGCAGCATATAAAATATGAAATATGTACACATACAACAGCACACACACACAAATGCTGCAACACTCATTAGTGTACATAATGTACAGAAGGGCTGACAGACAACAAGCTGGTGGAAGAAAAGATCAGGATAGAAAGAACACCATTTACTGTCACGCACTGCCACCTATTGGTAAAAAGTCCATTATCCAACCATTCAGGCTAGGATCAAGTTCAAGGTCCCATATGTAGGATATTTCCTGAATTAAATCATAAAAATGACCTAACTATATCATCAGACATCAAGGAAACATGCTATGCTTCTTTGTCAATAGAAATTTTACCTCAGAGAGGACATGATTAATAATCAAAGCAACAAAACATTTACTCACATAATAAATTGAGCTCATGAATAATTTAACTACTGTGGATCCATACTTTAGCTGATTAACACATTGAATAAAAAAAGTCCACTTAATGTTTAATAAGATAGTTACATGATTGAATGAGGTGAATAGGAGACGCTCCCTCACTGACTTTTCGTTTTCAATTGAGCAGCCAAAGGTTGGATGGCATAATGGATTATTTTAGTTTAGTTTTTTAGTTTTCATGTAAATTGGCTGAATAAATTCATGTCATGGGTATTTAGTAATGGGTAGATGGTGAATACTTCTTCATTACATGTTCCAGAGTAGCTAATTATAATTTAGCAGATAATGTAACTACACAAATTGTTGCATAGTTAATGGGGAATTAACTACTAGTTAGCCATTAGTTAATGGGTAGATAGTAACTTCTCATACAATTCTATGGAGTAAATGGACTAAATGGTAAATTTAGCTTATTGTGGTATGGTAAATTTAGACTTGAGCTCAGATGTATTTAAATTTCCAAATTTCCAAGTACCTAGCTCAATGAGCTGTTTGGGTTAATGTGAATCTTCACACGCCTGTTTTTATTAGAGCTATTTGACTTCAAACTGATTGACAAGAGCTGCATTTTTCCTGAATTGTTAAAATTCCTTCATGAAATTAACAGCTATCTCTTCTTTTGTGGGCATATGTAGGACAATAGAACATCAACCATATTCTTAATGATGGGACGTTTTGGATGAATGTTGTGTGGCAAGTGGTGAGCAAGAACCATATCCCATGCATCCACCAGTTGGACATTAAGTCCTTTGAACATGGCTCTGAGCACCTTGTCCACCTGAAACGAGAACCAGTCACCGTTGCTTATCACATTACCAACGTGCATAGCTTGGAGGGTCCCAGTTCTGATGACCACCAGTGTGCCAGGAGCCCTATTCAACAGACGGACCACTGCCCTGCGGATGCTCTGAAGCCGTCTGATGTAAAGTTCAATTGGAAAAGTGCTGAAATGGGCCCAGATTCCTAAAACTACAACTGTGTTGGTACCACCAACCAGCGTATCAAGTTTTTTGGAAACGTAAAAGTCCTTACTGGTTGGTATTATTGAAATCCGAAGAGGAAGACCATGGATGCGGTACGTTACCATGATTTTGTTTGCATTTTCCCATATCATGTAAGGTCCTGCTGGCTTCGGACTGTTCAGGTTTACTGCCTTAGCCTCTGCAAGTGTGACAGAAGGAACAGATTAAGTTGCAATATTAATGAACCAAATTTTGCCTACAATAACTGTGGAACAGATACCTGGAAGCGAAGCGTCGAGGTACTCAAACCACTGCCTGATGGTTGAGTCTCCATACATGTGGACCACCTTGCCTTTCAAACACTGGCTGATTGCAGAGTCGTTGTTGAATTGGTTAACGTTAAAGCCACCTAGTGATCGCCACACACCCTGGTAGTAATACCCAGAGAGTCCAGACTTCCCACTGTCTTGATTGACTACAGGTTGCCCTGAGAAGAATTGAAAAAAGGTTGTATGTACTCTTTCACAAGTCACTTTAACTGTCAAGGTCTCAAGCTCATTCAGTTTTGATTTTTATTGGTGAGAGTAGGAAAGATCATGCTTACCTTTCCTTCGTGGCAACACAGTGACACTGGCAGGTCCTGAAGCCGGAATGAAGACTTTCAGGTTGACATTCCTGTATAAAAATTCACATTATATATTGTACTTTACACACACTAATATAATCACTGTCAAAACATGATTTACCAAAAGGTAAAGATTTAATTGCATTAAGTTACTCTGCCTCCATATTTGGGCTTTAAAGATATATAAATACCTTTAGATTTACTCATAAATGTCCGTTGTTATTAACTAGACATATTTAAATCAGGAGATACATAGTAAGCTCTAATATTTGTATGTATTCATCAAGTGAAAAAAGTAGTTTTTTAAACTTCATCACCTTTGAAAGAGCTTCAACTCTTCGGTCTTGAGTACATTATCATATCCTGTTTTCATGTGGTTAAACCTGGCATCACAGCTCAGATTCTTTGGCTTGTAGCAGAACCACGGGTCACCTGTATGGAGGTCAGTGTAGTTGCACTGTGGCTGGCTGGTTTGGCGTAGGCAAACATTACAGATGGTAGATTCAGAGATTGAGCCTGAGCGGAAGACGCTTTGGAAGCGAACCCTATCAGGATGATCTCTGTTTAGCCTACGTAGAACTGTGACAGCCTCACTTGAGTGGACAAGGGTCACCTCATAAAACAAAGAACAAAAGTTTAAAGTTATACATACAAGAAATACCCCATGTACAGTACTGTATAATTAGATAGTTCATAACTATTTTTTTTTTTGCTTCAGCCCACTGAAGTTGCTAATTTATTTAACTTAAGAGAGATTGGTTGATATGGTAAACTCTCCACTAGCTGGCCAGTAGAACTTGTTTTCTTCTCTCTGTTATATCAGCTGAAGACAGACAGAAAATGTTGGGAGGAGAAAGTGGGGGGTGACATACAGCAAAAGGCCAAGAGTGGATTCTAATCCCAGGCCACTGCAACAAGTACTCTGTAAATTGGCTCGTAACATAATATCCGGACCCTTAGTTTTGCAACTATCTAACCCAACAATTCTGACACCATCTCTGGCCCATAGGCAATTTTAGAGTGGCTAAAGTGTTCTGTAGAGCATCAGACCATTAAAAAGTGTAAACATAAAGTGTTATGAGTGTTGTGACCAGCCGTGTGTTGGACAGACTCAGGCCTGTGGCCCAGGTGTAAAGTGTAGGGGGGAGTCAGACTCAATTCCCTCATTGGAGTAGAACTGGGGATAACAGCAGGGAATCAAAGACTGTAGTCTCCCATTGCTCCTCGTCTCTCAAGTGCTGGCCTTCCTCCGAAGACAGGTCTGTATCACTTTCCCTGCTTCCACAGCATGTTTTTAAGAGTCTTTGTGCGTAGTCGGCAACTAGTTGGTCGAGCACAGAGAGTTTTCTTTCCTTGTATTTTCTTCGGACCAGGAGCGCTGCAGACTTCCACAATGTCTTCGTTTTAACTTTGAATGTTGTTGCTTGTTAGCAAAAGTAATCAGGGGGAATGGTTTAGATTTCATGAATTAAACTACCTACAGGACAATACCATTGCAATAGGTAATTCTTTTGGCATTACTTGTTGTACATTAACATTTAAGGATATAGCCTTGAACTGTACCTCAACCTGTGCGCTTCCTTCCCAGAGTAAAGAGAATACAGCAGAGTAGGAGCCATTAAGGAGATCCACCACTCGTCCAGCCACACCTGCTTCAAGTGCCCTGTTGTGCAACCGGGCAACAATTGCATCTCCTCCAGACTTCTTGGGGTTACCTTGGAAGTTGTACATTTGTATAATAACTTCCAGCTGGTCTCCTACATGCCAATCTCCTCCACCCCTCCTTGGGAGAATGGTAAAGGTGCTGTGGGCGGCATTACTTGTCTGATTCAATGAAAAAGGAGCTGGCAGAGGAGGAGTCTCAGGCCAAGCAATGGAGTCCAATATGAAACGTTCCTCTTTAGCATCTGCAGAAGACAGTGGCTTGATGGTGCAGAAGTTGTCAGGCATGTAAGGAGCCAACACAGGACCGGTGGAAGGAGCGGAGGTCACTTTCTTGAGGAAGATGATAGAGTTTTCTTCAAAATTAATCTGGCAAGGGGTCGAAAAAGAAGGCTGGTTACAACAATGTATCAAACAAATGGACTAAATTGAACTAAAAGAGGATGGAAGATTTTTCAAATATATTGCCATGATCTCTACACAAGAAAAAAAGTTACAGGATTGCAAGGGATTTAATATGTGGATGTCAGTGGACAAGAAAACATCCACCACATCTTGACTTAACAAAGACAAGCCACTCTGCGATGCTCTTTTCATACCTAGAAATGTTACTCGCCTGTTTCCTGTTAACCTTATTAACTGTAAGATGTTCCATCAGCTGTTATTTAAAGCATTTTGCAACTTTTATACTATTTTGTTGCCACTGTTCCAACTGTTTCAAACATGTCTTCACCATCAAATTTAAGTACAATTTATTTTTAAATGGAAAATGACTTCCCCTCCCGCTCAATCTTTTCTGTGGTAAATTGATGCACCGTGCATCTGGCAAAAATAGAAGCCTTGTGTAACTGCTACGGATTGCTCCGGACTGGCCGAGCTGAGACAGTGGAAGCTGGTGGAATTTGGCCGTCAGACACACTCTGGCTCAGCATTGAAAAAAGTCTTTGTTATTCCCTCACAGGCCTTAGCTTTCATAGACGTCCCATTAGGGGACATTCAAATGGTTAAATGGACCAGAGTCACAAATATGTGGACGAAAGTAAAAGCATCTTTTGGTTTGCAATCTCGGGACTAACTTACATTGAATTTATAAAGGGTTTTACTCCCTTCCATACAGATGCAGGATTTAGGAAATGGTCAGAATATGAACTCACTAAGCTACAGCAACTCCACAGGGATAGAAGTCTAAAATTTGAACAGTTAAATAGGAATTCACACTTCCTAACACTGATTTCTTTATATATTTACAGTTCAGGACATTTTCCACGAAGCATAAAGAATGGAATAAAATCTTGGAGCCCCTTGAATTGAGGAGTTTCTGTTTATAGCACAAACAGGAAATGGGGGGTGAGAAAATTACAAGTAATAATAATAATAATAATAACTTTATTTATATAGCACCTTTTAAAAACACAGGTTTACAAAGTGCTTTGACAAACAGCAAGAACAAAGCAAACTAAACCAAACACAGAAAAACATTAACAACAGTAAGAATATAACAGATGCAAAATACCAAAAATAATTAAATACAATTCAACAGAAAAGAACCCAAAGTGCACGATACACAACCAGACATATATAACCCAACCATCATAAGAACCATCATAAGAACCATCATAAGAACCCAGGAACACAAGAACCCAACAACATGAGCTGAGACCAAGAGGACCAAAGATTTAAAAAGATGTAAGAAACTAAGAGATAAAAGCAAATAAAAAGCAATGAGAAGGTAAGCGCAGTAAAAGAAATAAAAACAAGTGGTTAAAGGATCAAAAAACCCAAAATTATAATATTAATAAAAATAAAAATGAACTATAAATACGAAACATAAATAGACAAAGTAAGTAAGATAAGAAATTACCAAGTTAAAACACAAGAGGAGATTAAGATATGAGCATAAATACGAGATAAGACCATAAATAAAAGACAGTAAGAAGTAGAAGAAGATAAAAATAGTAAAACCAGTAAGAGAAGACATTAAGAAGACGACATCACATAAAAGCAAGTCTGTAAAAGTATGTTTTAAGAAGGGATTTAAAAGAATTGAGGGAATCTGCAAGTCTTATCTCCTCAGGGAGGTCGTTCCAAAGTCGAGGGGGCCTGACTGAAAAGGCCCGGTCACCTTTAGTTTTAAGTCTCGACTTTGGAACGACCAGGAGGCTCCCACCCGAGGATCTAAGACTGCGGGCTGGCTCATATGGTGTCAGTAACTCTGTTATATAGCTTGGAGCCAGCCCTGTCCGTGCTTTAAAAGTAATGAGTAAAATCTTAAAATCGATTCTAAAACGTACAGGAAGCCAGTGTAATGAAGCTAAAATTGGAGTGATTTGATGTCGTCTGTTACTAGTAAGAAGCCTAGCTGCTGCATTTTGGACTAGCTGGAGGCGAGACAGTGACTTATTTGTGATTCCGGAAAAGAGGGAGTTACAGTAGTCAAGTCGGGAGAAGATGAGGGCGTGGATGATCTTTTCAAAGTCTCGTTGGGTTAGGATTGTTTTAATTTTGGAGATGGTGCGTAGATGGAAGAAGCTTGATCGGACAACTGTTTTGATATGGGATTCAAAGGTGAGATTGCAATCGAATGTTATTCCTAGATTTCTGGCGGTGGGTTGGACATTGGTGAATAAGGGACCGAGGCTGCTCTTTGAGATATGAGTGGTGTTTGGCGGGTTGAATATTATGATTTCAGATTTAGAATTGTTCAGTTGGAGAAAGTTTTGCGCCATCCAGCAGTTGATATCGTTTAGGCAGTTTCTGACAGCAACTAGACTCCTAGCATCCTCAGGTCTTAAAGGAAGGCATATCTGTGTGTCGTCTGCGTAGCAGTGAAAGGAGACATTGTGGCGTTCAATTATTTGGCCAAGAGGCAGCATATAAATGGAGAATAAAATGGGACCTAAAACCGAACCGTGCGGTACACCACAGGTAATGTTAGAGGTAGAGGAGGAGTAGTTACCGATGGTGACCGCGAAGGTTCTTTCTAAAAGATAAGAGTAAAACCAGCTAAGTGCAGTACCCTTTAAACCAACCCAATGTCTGAGACGATCAGTTAAAATTGTGTGATCAACAGTATCAAAAGCTGCGCTAAGATCTAAAAGAATTAAAATTGTGCCCTCCCCTCTATCTGTTGCTAAAAGAAGGTCATTGGTTACCTTGAGGAGGGCAGTCTCTGTGCTGTGACAAGCTCTAAAACCGGATTGGAATTTCTCAAAGAGGTTATTTTCAGTCATAAAAGATAAAAGTTGTGTTGAAACCACCTTTTCTAAAACTTTTGATAAAAATGGAAGTTTTGAGATTGGTCTAAAATTGTTAAAATCAGTGGGATCAAGGTTGGGTTTCTTTAAAAGTGGTTGGACCACAGCATGTTTAAAAGCAGAGGGGACTACACCTTCCGCCAAGGAACTATTAATAATGGATAAAATACTGGGTCCAACTGTGTTAAAAACCTCTTTGAGAAATGTTGTGGGAATAAAATCAAGGCTGCACTTTTATCATGTATTTTCAGGTATGACTTTGAAAATTGCAATGCAGATAAAAGGAAGATGGGAAACTGAAATTAATGTAGACATACCAGAGGGAAAAATGTTAGAAATATGAACTGAAGCACATCTTGTAGCCAATTCTAATACATGGAGGGAATTGAAGTGGAAGATAATGAGATACTTACGGACACCAGTAATAGTGGTTAAAATGGTCTCAGCATACTGTGATACATGTTGGATAAATAGTGGTAGACAAATCAGCACCCATACCCATATTTTGAACATTAAAAACATTTTGGGAGGAGGTTTCTGAGGCTCTGGAAACAATATTTCATCAAAAGATCGAATGAGGAAATACTGGGCCTAAAACCGATAGGTTGATGGTAGAGCTATTAAATACCTTTTAGAAATAGTGATAACAGCAGTTCTCAACTGTATCACAATTAAATGGTTAAAACCTGACCCTCCAACATATAGTACATGAGGAAGGGTAATACAATCACTGGGGTGTGTTTGTAATTATTTAGTTTATGATTTACTTTAGTATAGTTTGTGGGTTTTATTACTGGTAATGGCACACTGTAAATAATTATGGTAATGAGAATAGTTACATTATGGTATACAAGTAATTACAATTTTTAATATTATATATTATGGTATAATTCATACAAATTAAATTGAGTTAAAAGGGGTAGATTAAATCATTCTTCTTACTCCTTTTCGGGCATCAAAAACGAATGAACTATGATTTATCTTTCTTATGTTGTGAATTCACTTTATTTTTTTACATATTTTTAATTACAGCTATTTTATTATTTTGTTTTTCATTTTTTACATGTTCCAAATAAATCAATCAAATCAAAATCAAATCAACAAGGCAGCTCATTTTGACTGTACCAATAATTATCCTTTTCACACATACTGGTCACTACAATGGACAGCTATTCAAAAGCTGTTTTCCACTCCAGTGGACTTTAGCAAGTCAGCCCATACACTGTCATCCATTGGCCAGCTGTTGTAAGTGTGCCAAAATGTAGATGGTCCATATAACTTGCAGGTGATGTTTTTTTCTTAACATAAAGTAAAAACTAAGGAGCAATGTTATTGTGAAAAGATCCAAATATTGATTTTAGTTTTGGAGAAAATCATGATTGATCGGCTGTCCACTAGTTGGGCATCGTGCATTGCCGGCTACATTTCAATGGCAATACTGAGACTTTGCTCATCATGAAAATAACTGATGTTGTGATGGTTTTGGTTACTCTAAATTTATTTTCTCCCATTAAATGCTGTTCAGACAGCCTTAAGGCAAAAACTGAGCAGGTAGTTTGAGCTCATTAAGCATGTTTTTCCTTTTTTAAACAGGAACACTCAAAAACTCAAACACTTTATATTATTATATTCAAAACTTAAATTTAAATGGATCTCTCCACCCCAGTTGACATGTGAAAATTGGAAATGTGATTTTGAAAGGGGAAGAATTATTATCGTTGTTTATGCACTATAAGATAAATAAATAAACATTTTTTGCATTATAGAGTTGCATGATGTCCACTCTAGTGGACACTCCTGTAACTTCAGAATTACTATTATTAACAAAATTTAAAAAAATAAATTCAACATTTCATGTCTTAAGTCTGATGTCTTAATTTGAATCTTTATGGAATAAAGCAGTGAAATATTTGAATTAAAAATGCTCCCCACCTAAATGTTATATTATCATCTGTCCCACCTTTGACAAGGTGAATAGCTGGTTAGGATTTTGGGGGTGCAGCAGGTGAGCATCATTTTCAAGTAGGGCCCATGCTAGTGCCCTCACCCCCCAGCCCCTGTAGTGTTTATTTGCAACAAAAAGATTAATGTTATCTTGTTGAGAGTACATCGAAAAGAGACTGTTGTAAATAGTCTCCTGTAATCAGACTCAAAACATACAAATTCCACCTTTAAAGTTTTACCAATAATCCCAGTTCTCACCTGCAGCAGGGCCATGTTTCTTAGTGTAAAGAACAACACATACACAAGGAGGAGGATGACACAGGTCTTCAGAAGTTTCATGTTGACATGGTTACTTATAAAACCTTTTAGCCACATGGTGAGTCCTCCTCTGGTACTGGATTAAAACAACCAACAGGAGAAACAGACTCTGTGTTAAGTTTATCATATGAATTCTTCTGGAAGTCACTTAACTCAGTCATAAAAACCTCTGAATATTTATAGTGTCATCATGTCTCACTACCAACATCCAACTAATCTAGTCAATCGAGAATGTGATAATTATATGTTACCAAACAGGTAGTGTACAACAAAACAACTTTTTGGTGCTAGAGGTTTGACAGGAACATAATTACAATGTTCATACTGATGGTCAAATTCTCACAATCAGGTGTGCCAAGGTTACATGGTCTTATGAAATGTACTGAAGTCACATGAGGACAAACTGTTGACTTAAGGTAGGGTTAGTTTACCTGCAGGCACGCAGTAATGGAGGCATGAAGGAAACATGTACATTTAGCCTAATCAATCAAATCAATCAATCAATCAATTTTTATTTGTATAACCTCAACTCATAACAAGTGTTATCTCGACACACTTTACAAAAAGCAGGTAAAAGACCTTAATACCTAACTAAAGATTGTTTTGAAGTAGACATTTTAACTGGTACTATTTTGTTACTTTATACTTTAACACATTTACATTTCAGATTCTAATTCTATTCCATTTATTCCTCAATGTTTTCTCTTCAGTTTCACTTGTTACTTTGTCGATTAAAAAATCAATGATTCTATATAATTTAATTTAATATCTGTATAATTTCAGATAACATTAAATTAACCTCATCACCTCTGTTTCTCCCAACTTCAGCATATATGATACCATGTCTGCAGTAATTTAATTGAAACTGTTAAAATAGCTCATGCTTCCCAAATGAATACACTTATTTTTGGGCATTTAAATATATTTTGATGGCACTGTACTACCTCTAAATTTATCAAACTGAACATGTGCTTTTTAACTGATGGGATCATAGATTGATAAAGTATGATATATGACATGGGGTTTTATATCAGAGCTTGAACTCAAACAGTGAAGAGTATTTCCTATCCCTAAAGTATCCAGTAACAAAACAAGTAAATGTGATACAGGGGTTCAATTAAAAACAAAAATCAGAAGCAAGAAGCTTAAAGCATGCAGCATAAAAGAGGTACAGAAAACGTTAAAAAAAGTACCTTCAAAGTAGACACTAATGGAAACATGTTGTTTTCTCAGCGTCTATAAAATGAAACATAAGTTTCACCCAAACAAAATAAAGAATATTACAGCTTACCTCAGAAGAGATTAATTTGGAGTGAACACAGTGGTGAAATCTCTGTGATGTGACGGAAATCCAAATTAAAAAAAGTAAACCTTTTACTCAGAAAACAAGACAACCTGTCATAACAAGCTTCAAAAAGTGATCAAGGTGCAATTATGAAGATGACGGCTACTCTTCATAAGACTTTCCTCCCTACAAGATCTGGACGATAATGAATAAAAACACCAGCTCAAACAACAGATAACAAAAAGGAACTTTGCTCACTAACAGGTGTTCACTGGCGTTAATGTATTTACTTAGGTTCAGGAGCAGGATCACGCCCAAAACCACACCTGTATTTACCTGACAGCTTTTTCACACCTGGTCACCTCACCACATCCCATTTGTCTCAGATCCTTCTACCCACCCTCCCTTCCCTACTTCTCATCCCTTCCCTCCTTCCTCATCCGTTCCCTTGTTGTGGATTTTTCTGTTGGTAATAAAAGATCTCAAGTCAAAGTCTTTTGTCTTTGTGTATTTTATTGCATATAGTAAGAGTTGTTTTGCAAAAGGGGTAATCAGTGACAAAAGTAACATCAGTCACAAGTGCATCAAAGACCGGGGGCAGTCCCGGTTGCAGAGCATATTTATACATTCACAGGGTGTAGGTATTTTGCATATACATGAGTAATACATGGTCATTGGTTTCAGCTTGCCCTAGTGGCTACAGCTTCTTCTAGTTTGCCTGGTGATTTATCTACTGTATGCAAGCTTCTTTATAAGGTACCTGGTACGGTGGAACAGAACAGAAACTCCTTTGTCAGGAGGGCACTGATTTAGGATCATGCTGTACTCAGATAATGAGGAGCGTACCTGTTGGAGATGCAGACCAAGGCCATAGAGAGAAACAGTTTTTAATTGCTAAATGACGCACAAACATCTAAGTCTTTTAAGTTCAAATGAGGGCGACAGACAGACAGTATTTTTCCACTACAAACACCATACATGCAAACACCAAGGATGCATACAGATCATCACCCCTGCCCCCCCTGGGCCGCTCAGACCACAACCTGGTGAGACTGCAGCCCATTTACATACCTATGGTGAAAAAACAACCCCCCACAACCAGGTATGTGAAGAAGTGGTCTAAGGAGGCCACTGAGGCGCTGCAGGACTGCTTCGACATCACTGACTGGGAGGTGCTGTGCAGCCCACATGGGGAGGACATTGACAGTTTAACCCACTGCATCACAGATTACTTCTGTGTTAAGAACACTGTACCCACCAAAAAATACAATGTTTCTCCAACAACAAACCCTGGGTTACCCCTGAGTTGAAAACCCTGCTCAATGAAAAGAGAAGAGTTTTTAGAGCTGGAGATAGAGAGGAGCTGAGGAGGGTGCAGAAGGAGCTCAAAAAAAAAATCAAGAAGGGGAAAGCCAGCTACCGAGCAAAGATGGAGGAGCATTTACAACATAAAAATGCAAGAGAAGTCTGGAGGGGCCTGAATAACATCTCAGGTCACAGCAGAAGGCGTGGGAGGGGCCCTGAAGCAGGAGACAGGGAGTGGGTAAATGAACTGAATCTGTTCTTCAACCCCCCCACCCCCACCCACCAGAGCGCAGACCAGCCCGCTTTTCAGACACTCCATCTGAGTACCCTGAGTACCCTGCCACCCCCCTCAACAGCCCTCTCCTCCTCCTTCTCAGACGACCCCCCAACAACCTCCTCCTCTTCCTCCTCCTCCGACGGCCTCTCCATAACAGCTGATCAGGTGAGAGGATCAGAGGAGGATGTTAGTGAAGCTGACATCCATCATGGACAACCCCTCTCACCCCCTGCATGACACTGTGGGGACCCTGAGCAGCTCCTTCAGCAGCAGACTCAGACACCCACCCTGCAAGACAGAGCGCTACTGCAGGTCTTTCATTCCATCTGCCATCAGACTGTTTAATCAGACTCTTTAACAGCATCACCACCTCATGCTACACACTGTGTGTTTTTTTTATAACAATAACTCTTTCCAGTGTAGTTACTGTGCAATTTTCCATTATTGTATTTTTTATTTATTCAACTGATGTAAATATGTTTGATTTGATTTTTAACATCTATTTTTATTTTTAATAATTATTTCTCGTCCCCTGTTTTCTTGAGCTGCTGTAATGCACAAATTTCCCCCACAGGGGATCAATAAAGTTTATCTTTATCTTTATCTTTAAACGTATCTCTTTAAGACTCCCATCGAATATGTTTTGAGAATCAGCGGATACAACTGAAGTCCGCTGTTAATATATTATCTATTTTTTTTTTTATACAAAAGAGAGAAAAGGCTTATTTTCAGTTTAGTTTGCTTGGTCTATGAATTTGTTGTTATAGTTTAAAAACGGTACATGTCCCGTTTGACTCCGGGGAGGACCGTACATGGTGGCGGGCTTTGCTCCAGGCTGCTCTCATTGAATCCCCGTTCAGGTCGCTCACAGATGCGTGAGGGAAATGGATTTATTATCCCACCACCACCGGAGCAGCGTTTCTCTGGGGCTATGCCCCACTTTCTATTGTGCACAAACAAGACTTTATAACATGTAGGGGGGAAAAAACACACAACTTTGAGAAATGAGGTCTGGTTGACCAGTAGCTTTGTTAAGTTGGCTGCCCGGCTACCGGCACTGTTGCTCGGCTTGACTACAGGACTTCCGTCCGCCAGGATTTTGAACTTGTCAGGCCCGGGGCAGAGGGCTCTCCGTGGGTGAAGTGTCATTGTTTGAAGACAGGGAGTTATTTTAAACTGTAGCAAAGAGATGAGCAGCAAGTTCGACCCGGACTCTCTAAGCGGGGACAGCAATAGTACGAAGTGTCAGGCTGAGAAAGCGGGTGCAGAGGGATGAGTTGGAGCACGTAGCCCCAGAGCTAGCACGAGCTCCAGGCATGGTGTTTCAACCTTTAAAAAAAATAATTTATTTATATTTAAATTTTACACAGCATCCCAACTTTTAGGAATCAGGGTTGTAATAATTAACAGCATGAATACTCGACTTGAAAGGTTATCTGCATGATTCACAACCTTGCAATGCCATTTGTTCTGCGTTATGAACCATTATGAGGCACTATGCACCCAGAAAGTATTTTCTGAAGATCAGATCAACGTTAAAAGAAGTCATCATACTTCCCTGATATCATCAAGTCAACAGGATTAAAGCTATGGATAGGATCAAATCTTGAAATCAGGTTGTTTAAAAGAGAAAAGGAAAACATAATCAAATAAAACCAATCCAATCCTGTTTTGTTCACTGGTAAAACCTTCAGTTTTTGTTGTCTAAATTTTTGACTAGGATTTCTTTAATCCAAAAACTCAGGATTATGGTGATACCAGCAGAGTGCTGGATTCAGGATGGATTACAAGAAAATGTCAACTATGACATTAAATATCAAATGTGTTGAAGCTGAGAGGTTCTCTCAACTTGTGTGGATTGTGGCGCCCCCCTGTGGACAAAGTATGCAGTGTGAGGTCCTATTTAGAGCACTGCTGAACCTTTTAGGCCTTTATAGAATACTTTGGTTCATCCATAAAAGTCCCTGCTTAGATCAGATTGAGCTAATTTTTTATTTATTTTATTTTTTCAAACAAGGATGAAAGTGAGTTGGGCTAGTGATCCTGGGTAGGTAAAAGTGAAAAAGAGTGAACTGGACTCCTGGATATGAAAAAAAAATTGGACTACCTAATCCAGATCATTCTTATCTGGATTCATTTGAAACAACTGGGCTCAGATAATTCTTAAAGGATAACATCTTGGGGGATATTGAGGTAGAGTGAGGCAGATGGTTCAGGAGGTATTTCAAGTATCAAACACAACAAGGCACTTCATATTGACTGTACCAATAATTCTTTAAATGCAGAGTCAAATGTCACATTTTAAGAGTATTTTAATGTCCAACTGAATTTACATTTGACCTTTTAACTGCTCAATAATGTAAAAATGTGTGACCCTTTATTTTTTTTTACGTTGATGTTTTTTGTAAGCAGGGGTGTGTTCAGACTTTTTGTGACTGGGTTGGCCCAATTGGTGCAACAACGTATGCAGAGATGGCATCAAGTATGTGTGTATGTCACTTATGCATTTACCCTGTCTGTCTCCAGTACACATTTTCTTTAATTACTACTTACAATATAGTATCATACAGATGTTATTTAATGTGTAATATTTCACGAGACTAACACAAATGAGTTGAAATATCATCTTTTCAGCTTGAATCTTTAAGGACTAAATTTAGCTCCATTAAAATATAGAAAAAGCTCCTCACAGCTTGTTGCCTCACAACCCATCAAGTTGATATTTATACAGGCTTTATATTAAGTTTATTATATGTCCCACCTCTGAAAATTTGATTTAATTTAAAATGTGTTTAATTTAAACTGTTGAAATAGGTTATTCTTCCCAAATGACGTGAAGTTTGGGCATTAAAATATGTTTTGATGGCACTACTTCTTTCATATATAAAAATATAAATAGAGGACTATTTTTAACAAGATTTATCAAACTGGTCTGATCTGATCAGCAGGGGCTTGTATGCTGGAATTAGCATCACAGAGAGATGGTCTGAGGAGCCAAGGTGGGGGCGGGGTGCAGCCTTGAATGCCTTCTTGATGTTGCTGTAGGCCAGGTCCAGCGTGCTCCCACCCCTGGTTGCAAAATCCACATATTGATGGAAATGAGGAAAAACAGTTTTCATATTGGCCTGATTAAAGTCCCCTGCCACAATGAAAACTCCCTCTGGATGTGTAGATTGCAGTTCACTGATGGAGCAGTATAAAACATTCAGGGCTTCTCTGGTGTTTGCACTGGGAGGAATGTACACTGCTGTGAAGATCAAAACAGTGAATTCCCGGGGTAAATAAAAAGGCCTGCTTTTTATAGTCAGTAGTTCTACATCAGGAGAGCAGTGACTTGAGACTATCTCACCGTTGTTGCACCAGTTGTTGTTGGTGTATATGCAAACACCGCCGCCTCGGGATTTACCAGTGAGAGAGCTGCTCCTATCCGACCGAAATAATGTTAGCCCCTCTATGCTAACTGCCTCATCTGGAACGGATGGTTTCAGCCACGTTTCTGTGAGAAATATGGCGCAGCAGTCTCTCATCTCTCGTTTTGCAGTTAAATCCAGCTTCAGGTAGTCCAGTTTGTTCTCCAGGGAGCGGACATTAGAAAGCATGATGGAAGGAAGCGGCGTTCTGTGCGGGTTAGCTTTTAGCTTGGTTGTTAGCCCCGCTCGGCATCCCCGTTTTTGCTTCCGGTCACACCGCTTCCGTCTCCTCCGCTGGCGGACTCCGCTGGTACGAGGCTCCGCTGCTTCACAGGCCGCTGGTTGTAGCCGGCGTAGTATTCCGAGGCTACGTAGAAGGTCCAGAGTAGTCGCATCTACCGGACTGAAACTGTTTGATTTACCTAAAACAAAAATTGCCTGGCGGTCGTATATTACTTTAGAGTAACTACGCTGCAGGTTTACTGTGAAATTATCAGAACTGACTGGGTTATTTGCCATTATATTCCTGTTGCTATCACGAGCCACTGCAGCCGCAGCCGAGCAGGGCGCCGCCATCTTGAATCAGTGACTATAAGCCTCAATGAACCTCAATGAACCTCAATGACTATAAGCAAAGACTTGTCTCATTCTCCTCCAGCCTGAAAACGGCCAAGACAACATATTATCAGAACAAGATATGCAATGCCACAGATATGAGAAAAATGTTTTCTGCTTTTAACTCACTGCTTCAACCACCTCCTCCTCCACCCTCTGATCTGTTCACACCAGACATGTTTGCCCTGTATTATACTGAAAAGGTTGCAACCATCAGTAACCAGTTTTCTGAACCTGACCAACTCAGCCCAAAGGCACCAACCAAAAGTTCCTCACTCGACTCATTCTCCTCTCTGACTGAGGATGAAGTCTCTAAGCTTGTGCTAGACTCTTGGCCCACCACCTGTCCTCTGGACCCAATACCATCAAGCCTCATGCAGACCATTTCCTCTCCGCTTAATGCTGCGCTTAAGCATATCATCAACCCCTCTCTGTCAACGGGTGTGTTCCCAACTGCATTCAAGCAAGCTCGGGTCACCCCTCTGCTCAAAAAAACACACACTAAACCCAGCCCAGGTTGAAAACTACAGACCGGTTTCTCTTCTGCCCTTTCTATCAAAAATACTTGAGCACACAGTCTTTAAGCAAGTCTCTGAGTTCCTGTCCATAAACGATCTGTTTGACCCAAATCAGTCAGGTTTTAAGCGGGGCCACTCTACTGAAACTGCACTACTGTCAGTAACAGAATCGCTACAAGCTGCCAGAGCTGCGGGTCAGTCCTCAGTTCTATTACTGCTAGACCGGTCTACTGCCTTTGACACAGTCAACCATCAAATCCTCCTATCCACGCTCTCTGAACTTGGCATCTCAGGATCTGCCCTCTGCTGGTTCATGTCCTACCTCTCTGGGCGATCCTTTAGAGTGTCGTGGAAGGGAGAAGTGTCCAAAGGGGTACCTCAAGGGTCAGTGCTTGGTCCCCTTCTCTTCTCCATATACACAAGCTCACTTGGTTCAATAATCCGCTCTCATGGCTTCTCATACCATTGCTATGCTGATGATACCCAGCTCTTCCTGTCATTTCCGCCAGATGATGTTACAGTCTCTGCAAGAATCTCGTCATGCCTTGCTGATATCTCTAAATGGATGAATGAACGGCACCTTCAACTCAATCTTTCAAAGACTGAGCTCCTTGTCATCCCAGCCAGTCCCTCTATGCAACCACAGATCAATATCCAGCTTGGAACAACCAAACTCATGCCCACCGGAACCTGGGTGTCATGATGGATGACCAGCTAACTGTCAGAACATGCTACACAGCTCCTGGTACAGGCTCTTGTGATATCACGCATGGACTATTGCAACTCTCTACTGGCAGGTCTTCCTACATGCACTATCAAACCCCTGCAGATGATACAAAATGCAGCAGTACGACTGGTCTTCAACCTTCCTAAAAGAGCACATGTCACTCCGCTGTTCATCTCCCTACACTGGCTCCCAGTTACTGCTTGCATCAAATTTAAAACTCTGCTGCTCGCTTACAAAACAGCGACAAAAACGGCTCCTCCTTACTTTAATTCTCTCATCCAGCTCTACAGTCCCTCCTGCACACTACGCTCTGCCAATGAAAGGCGTCTGATCCAATCTTCACAACAGGGTCCTAAGACACTGACTAGACTCTTCTCCTCTGTTGCCCCCTGGAGGTGGAATGACTCCATTCGATCCGCAGAGTCCCTCTGCACCTTTAAGAAAAAGCTAAAGACCCAGCTCTTTCATGAATACCTACTAACTTAATGATGATGGTCTCGATATTATTGATGATGATGATGGTTGTGACGATGGTTTTTGTTTGATAACGATAACTTTTAAGATGGTTTCTATACTGATTAGAGCTCTCAAGAACTGCCGCCAATGTTGTGCTTTGCCTCTGTGCAATGCCTGTCAGCACCTGTGTGTCCAATCGGACTTAAAGCTGATCGTTTGCTCTTACTGACATTGTTCCCTTTTTTCTAGATCCTTGCTTGTGTTGTAATTACTCTCTGATGTACGTCGCTTTGGATAAAAGCGTCTGCTAAGTGAATTGTAGAATTGTAGAATTTCTCAACATTATGAGAGCAGAGGGCTGGGGGATAGTATTGAAGATAAATAAGATAAGATATACTTTATTCATCCCAGCAGGGAAATTTAGGTGTTCCAGCAGCCAGCATACATACAAACACACAACACAACACATACATACATACATACATACATACATATCCCACCCATACAAAAAACATGAGCCCACAATACATAGCCAGGATAAAAAAAGTGGTATGGATGGTCCATGTGCATAAGTAGCTGTTACTCATAGATAACAGTACAAAATACTAGCTCTGCCAGTGCATAGTATGATAGATAAATAAAGAATTATTATAAAAAAGCAAAAGTGTGCAAATATACAGGTGCAAAATACAGTTTGATATAGGCAGCTCAGGCTAAAGTTTAAATGTCTTCTGTCCTTACTTAAAGGGGAGTCGTTATAAAGTGCAATTGCAGTAGGTAAAAAAGTATTTTTAAATCTGTCCTTTTTGCAGCTTAGCTGTAAACGAAGTAGAAGTATGAAAAGGTCATATCACCCTACCCAAATTAAATCTCCCCAACTCCCATTGGATCCCAGGCCTCATCTCAACCATCAGCAAGACACCAAGATCTGACAATCCCTGAATCCCCCTTCAACTGTCACTATGTCCAGAGGCAGCTACCCTTGTAGGGGACAGAGCTTATCACCCCCTGTGCCTGCTCCTTCTGTATCTGACATCTCATATCTCTCTCAAGCTATCACAGCTTTCTTTATATCCTGGAGTTCGCATGCTTCACAAAATTTCTGTGCACATACATCCTTCCATCCCATTATAGTTTCCTCTACTCTTCCTTCAGTCTTTCAGACAAAACTTCAGCAGAGTTCACTCTAGCTTTTCAATGTAGATGCACTATTTATTCAGCCTTTCCTTCACGAAGGTCTGAGCTGGATGATTATCTGTCCATCATAGTCGACATAGTCTTACTTTTCGGAGGAACTGGTTTCTATAGCTACCATGTTAACTTTGCAGCATACAGCAGTTGAATCAAGGTACTGGGGAGGTCATGACTCCAAACTGTAATGTTGAATCTTTGCAGCCCAAACCTCCCTCTCATACCCCAGAATGTCCTGTCAGCGCTCTTCTACAAAGCTCACGCTCATCTTTCTCACACCCCAATCTTAAACCATCTATCACACAGGTATCAAAATCAAGGCCCGCAGACTGAATCCGGCCCGACAGCAGGTTTCATCCGGCCTGCGAGACGTTTTGGGAAGAAGGGGAACATCTTTGAAAGACAAATGTTTGAGAATTTCTTTATAAATTAAATGTATTTAATTATTTTTGATACTTTTTATTTGATTGTTTTAAGAAAGACAAAGAGAAAAAAAACTGTCAGAACAAGCATAAATAGATTTGCATAAGTTTGTAGTTTGCAAGATGTGTTGAAGTGCTTTCTACACAGACATGGATATATATTTCTGGTAGCTCATTCTACGACAAAAAAGAAAAGTGAGAAAAAATGTAAAGAAAAATAAATGATTAAAAGGTGATAAAAAGCAACAGAGCAGACTGATTTAACAAAAAACAATAGTAGACATAAAAGTTTAAATAAATAGTGGGCCTTGGTTTGTTCTACTCAAAGTGTTCATACATTTTTGTCTGTGTTCTTCACCATCTTTTTTTACCACCATTTTTAATACATATTTTCATTGAATTTTGAAAAACCTTTGTTTAATTAGCAAGGTAAAAAGGTAATATGATGATACAAAATTAATTAAACTGGACACTTACAACTATTTTCTCAGCAGGGAGTAACATAAAAAAACGTGTTGCCAAGCGCACAAGCTGCTCCTGCATTACGTTTCAGTAATCAGGCTGAACAAAAAGAGAGGTGACCGTGACATAGAATTCAGAGAGACTGAAGGAGAGGTATTTCTGTAGTTTTATTCACTCAGAGTTTTGTTGCCAGAATTTAATCAGAGCTGTGGTTCTTAACTCCGGGGGAACTGCTGCACTGCGCACGCATCCTGGCGGTATTCAGTTTTGTCCACGCGTCTTACCAGCTTCTCCTGTTTTCACTGATGTAAAACAACAGTTCGGCTGATAATCGCAACGCTTCCTTCCTGGAGTGAGCCACAAAGAGCAGCTCGTCCAGATTTAAATAACTCCTCTTCGTCATGAATAACGGCCCAGACCGTCTCCACATAATCCAGACTGGGTGTAAATTGCGTACACAGGCGTATAGCCTAATGCATCTCCCGACTTACTGTATTTAAACTCTGATTATGGTAAAATCAGTCATTTAAGATTTAAATCTGATTTTATTTACAGATGGTTCATTTTTAGGTAATTTTTAGGAAAGTGTTGTGCTGATCACTTTTCAGTTTCATCCCTTCTAAATACAGTAGCCTGCTGTTGCGCATTTATCACCAGCTCTCATGAGACTGTAAATATGTCATTAATAATGAAAATGTCCTCCTCTCCGAAAACGATGTAACACAGGCTGTCCGGTCATATAGCGGTCCGCTGGTTTAGCCGCAGAGCAGCGCTAAAATGCTTCCTTGAATAACACACGGAGAAGGCACAGATTCATGGCACGTAAAAAGTCAGTAACAGAGTTAGATCAGTATCGATAGTATGGACACATAGAAGAACTGACTGCCACGCTCATATTAAAAGTCGTTTAACTGATTTTACTCAGTTGAAAAAGTGGAACTCAACACTGAGTTGATCAGACTGAAGCGCACGTCTGGAAACATTTTATCATTTTATAATGCCTGGCACTAAAATACCTGAAGATGACAGTGTTTCCATCACAGACACATATATTCATGTGAGCAGGTTTTGTCTGTGATGAACCTTAACGAGTGAAAACTGTGCTGTGGCCTGACACCTCTCTCTCTCTCTCTCTCTCTCTCTCTCTCTCTCTGAAGCGTAGCCTGTGTTGTTTGCAAGGTGTTTTCATACGATTTGGTGTGTGTGTCTCGTTGGGTAGTCGCGGAAGTGTACGCTAAGTCGGGTGATGCGGAGGCTAGTACGGTTAGCGATTCTCTGTGGTGACTTGTTTGCCGGCGCCCGGCTGGTTATAGGTTTGTATTGGGCATTGTATGGGCATGTAAGTAGCTTGAAGGTTTTGTGCAGGTCAATAGACTGCATTTGTGTTGTGATTTGTTCCTTCTCCTATTATGCCTTTACTGTGTTCTAATTTTTGGGTGAACATGGCCGAGTTTAAACCAGAGGACTTCTTGGAAAATGATGTGACACGTTCGCGGTTGGCTAAACTGGGTAAAACTAAACTATGGAAACTGATGGAATATTTGGAGTTAGATGCTCCGGAGGAGGCTAAAAAGCCTGAACTCATGCAGAGTATACTGGTAAATTGTAACCCTGAGGAGAAAGCCAGAGAGTGCGAGCGAAAAGAACGAGAGAGAGAGCATGAGGAGAGAAAACGAGAGAGAGTGTGTGAGCAACGAGAACGAGAGGAGAAAGAACAAGAGAAACAAAGAGAGCATGAAAAGAGAGAATTAATAGAGAGAGAGAGCTTGAAAAAATAAAACTTGAAGTCGAGAGAGCTAAACTTGCTTTGGATCGTAGATGTCAGGAGCAGCGAGAGGTCTTTAATGTTAATAAGTGTATGTCTTTGATGCCAAAGTTTGATCCTGAGAAGGTGGAATCTTTTTTTGAAATGTTCGAGAAGATCGCTTTGCAGCGTAACTGGCCAAAAAAGGAGTGGGTCACACTCATACAGGGCTCCCTAACAGGGAAGGCCCAGGAAGCATATGTTGTGCTAGACAAGAGTCAGATTGATGATTATGATGTGGTTCGACAGGCTGTCCTAAAATGTTATGAGTTGGTTCCAGAGGCCTATAGACAGCGGTTCAGGACCGACAGACCGCGTCCAGGACAGACTTATCTAGATTTTGCAAGACAACAGGAAGCAGCGTTTGATAAGTGGCTGAGAGCCAGCGAGGTGTATGATTTTAAGAACTTAAGAACACGAAGTAATGGTGCTGGAGCAGTTCAAACAGAGCCTGCCAAAGGTCATGTAGACCTACTTGAATGATCTTGAGGTGAAAACAGTGTCAAAGGCTGCTGAGGCTGCGGATAATTATGTCCTTATTCATAAAGAGTCATGGCGTGATAAACCTAGCAATCACTCTAACAGGACAGAAGACTTCATGACATGTCTGAGGCTTCTGTTATGGTCCTCAGGGACACCGCCTCAGGGCAGTCTCTAGTGGTAGAGGGTGCTGTAGATCTTCCTGAAACAGCTGCTTTAGGGGTTTATGTGTCTGTGAAAGGTTTTGGAGGTGGTTACAGTGCTCTTCCTCTGTACAGGATGTTTGTTCGGACGAACATTTTTGTTGGATATGCTAAGGTGGGAGTGACACCTGAGCTACCAGTGGAAGGTGTTACTTTTCTTTTGGGAAATGACTTGGCAGGTGATAAGGTGATATCAACCCTCATCCTGTCTCCATCTCCTTGTGAAGTTGCTGAGACAAAGGTTTTAGAGGAACATTATCCAGAGGCTTTCCCAGTTTGTGTTGTCATCTGATCACACATTTTTTATTTTTATTTTTTATTTAACCTTTATTTATCCAGGAAAGTCCCATTGAGATTAAAAACCTCTTTTTCAAGGGAGTCCTGGCCAAGAGGCAGCAAAAGTTACACAGTTACACTCACAACATACAGACAGCAATTAAAATTATAAAAAACAATTAGGAATTAAAATTATAAAACACAGTTACAAGTAAAGGAGGTCTTAAGTGCTCTCAGTCTGGATTTAAAAGTATTCAAAGAAATCAGTTCAGTTGTTTTCCAGTCTTTTTGCAGCATGTTCCATGTAGAAGGAGCAGAGTTGATGAAAGCCCTTTTTCCCAGTTCTGTGTGGGCAAATGGAACAGACAGCAACAACTGATCATTTGAACGGAAACAGTAAGAATCAACACTTCTCTGTGTGATTAGGTTACAGATGTAGGAGGGCAGTAGCCCAAGCATGGCCTTGTAAATAAAAGTGCACCAGTGTTCCAGCCAGTGGGCAGCTCCATCACTCTAACATCTCTCCATTAGTGCATGTCCATAGGATCCTGTTTGTGCATTTGTGTATATTTCAGCCTATGTGTGTGTTGCATGACTTACAGAGTGTAAAAACAGAAATTTCCCCTTGCAGGGATTAGTAAAAGTTAATCTTAAACCTCAGAGAAGCATGATTAACAGCGTCAATCTTACTTAGACATTTAGCTGAGGCATTCATATACATCAGGTCTCCATAATCTAAAATTGATAAAAAAGTTGCACTGACAAGCCGCTTTTTCACCTCAAAAGAGAAACAAAATGTGTTTCAGAAGAAGAAACCCAATTTAAGTTTCAGTTTTTTCACAAGATTGTCAATATGGGGAAGGTGAGGGAGTCATCAAGCAAGACACCAAGGTATTTGTACATATGAACCACCTCTATGACATTTCCCACAAAAGTGGACACTGTGGGGACAGTTTGAGGTACTTTCTTAGTGTTTGAGAACAATATTAGTTTAGTCTTGTCAGTGTTGAGGACTAGTTTTAGCTGCAGGAGTGTGTGCTGGACCACACCAAAAACTTTCTGCAGAGATTCAACAGCTTTGGCAGGAGCTGATCCAAAACAGTAAATAATTGTGTCATCGGCATAAAAATGCATGTCAGCGTCTAACACATTTTTTTCTAAATCATGAATGTACATAATGAACAGGAGGGGTCCTAATATTAAACCACAAATTCAGAACACAGACCATCATATTTAATACACTGAGTCCTGTCACTCAAATAATTTGTGAACCAGGAATCTACATAATCTGACAAACCCAAACAAAGAAGCCTATGCTTTAAGACAGCATGGTCCACAGTGTCAAAAGCTTTTGACAAATCAATAAAAAGTGAAGCACAGTACTGCTTTTTATCAAAAGCAACAAATATATCATTGATTACTTTTGTAGCCACAGTGATGGTACTGTGCTTTTACCTGAAGCCTGATTGCAGTTTTGAGAGCTCATTTGAGGTTAGAAACTCTTTTAGTTGATCACACACAAGAGATCCAAGAATTTTTGACAAGACACACAAATTTGATATTGGCCTGTAGTTAGTTAAAGCTGCTGGATCACCTACTTTTAATAAGGGGTAACAAAAGCTGACTTCCAGAGGGATGGAATTTCTTTGTTTTCGATTGAGAGATTAAAAAGGATTGTTAGAGGCTGTGCTACAAAATCAGCTGCTATTTTCAAAAAGTAGGGCTCTATCAAGTCAGGTCCAGGGGGTTTTCAGTGATCTAATGTTTTGAGGGCTTTATGCACTTGCTACATAGTAAAAGGTACAAAATTAAAGGGTTCTCCTGAAAACCCTGGGGGGTCTGTGCAGGGAGTCACAAGGGCAGCTCCTGTAGAGTCAAACAAAGAACCAGATGATACAAAATGCTTGTTAAAGCAATTTAGGACCTCAGTTCTATCATAGACTGGGACCGAGTCTTTTAGAACAAATGTCAAAGACAAAGAGCCTGAGGACTTTTAATTACAGATAAAGACTTAATCACTTTCCAAAATGTCTGTGGATTATTGAGGTTCTCAGTTGTGACAGATAAGTAATATTCTGATTTAGCATTTTTGATAAGAGAAGTGCATTTGTTCCTTAGTTGCCTGAAAATAGACCAGTCAGAGGCAAAATCACTTTTTCTGGCTTTGGTCCATGCCACATTATGGTGATGGATGGTATCTGACAACTCTGGGGAAAACCAGGGGTTTTCTCGTCCCTTCACCCTGCAATTCCTGATAGGAGCATGTTTATTTACAATTTTCACAAAATTTTTCTTAAAGAATGTCTAAGTTAGCTCAACTTCCGACAACAGACCTATATGCCCCCAATTAACCAAAGACAAATCATGGTGATAAGCTTGTTCATTAAAATGTTTTTTAATTCCTCTTGAAAATAATGCGTGGTTTACATTTGGGGATTTTAGTGTCCCTGCAAGTAGCAACAACACAATGATCACTTAAATCATCTCAGAATTTATGAGGAACATTTGTTAGAATTAGATCAATCAAAGTGGACTTATCAGAACTTTTATGATTTGAAGTTTTTCTGCCTCAAATACGTTGAAACACATTAAAGGAATAAAAAATAAAGAAATCAGAAAAGGCTCTGAGATTAAAGCGACAATATTTACCTTTTTTAACCATAAAATAGTCTTTTCAAAGTCGGTCTAATAGTTCAATAACATTTGACATGGAGAATAGCATTCCCATTTCCACAAAGAAGCAGAGGATTTTATGGCACACCTTCACCAACTACCAAGGTGCATGAAGAGTGAAAGGCTTGAAGAGGTCAAAAAGCTCCAGCAACACTTGCAGCACGGATATCAACTTTATTAAAGGGATACTTCACCCGTTGAAACATGAATCTGTATTGACATTGGGTCATATATGTAGTAGAAATGTGAAATACATTTTAAAGTTGGTGCCTTCTTGGCAGAGAAAAGGCAGAAAGTGTCTTTTTGGCCCAGAATGCACAGCACCGCAGGCCACTCCCACTAAGGTCAGGTTTACAGACATATTAACTTCAACACATAAGGCCGTTTGCTCAACTGATTCCGAGATTTCTTCCAGAAGGAATTGGTATCTTGGAAATTCCTGGCAGAAAACAGACTCTATGTCTGTGTCCATAGGCAAACAGTGAGAGCACCGACATTACCAGTTTGCCCCGGCTCCTCGTCCTCACCACCGCCGACAGGCAGGCCTTATGTCTCGGCTGCTGAGCTGGCAGTGGCGGCCAGCAATATAGCCGGGAGACGGTTGCAGCTGACAGGCTGGTTTTGTTTCTCGGCTGCTGCGGCCAGTGGCGGCCAGATTTCCAAGAGGAGCCTGGGTGCCCTGTTTTCAGCACTATGTAACTGGCAGTGGTCCAAGGTTCTGGTGAAAAGTGCATACAGCTTTACAGCACTAGTTCACAAAGCAGCTTTCAGCCATAAAGTAACAAAAGTTCTCTACAGTGCAGTTGCACTCAGCGACCTTGGATGGGAGCCAAAGCGCACCAAACTGAATTCCCCCTTAGAGTTGCTTTAAAAAGGAACTCAAAAAGAGATCACTGACTTTGCTGACCTTATTTGACCAGATACAATTTTTGATGAAAAACAAAATGTATTACACATAGGGCGGCTGTGGCTCAGTTGGTAGAGCCATTGCCTCTCAACCAGAAAGTCAAGGTTCAATCCACAGCTCCTGCAGCAACATGTCCAATTTGTCCTTGGGTAAGACACTTAACTCCAAATTGCTCCCGCTGCTTCATCGGTGGCATATTAATGCAAATGAATGGGATTAGTTACTTCTGATGGTTTCACTAAATAGCAACCACTGCCATCAGTGTATGAATGGATGTGAATGTGTAGGTATGACATGCAGTGTAAAAGCACTTAGTCAGAAGACTAGAAAAGCACTATATAAGCTCAAGTCCATTAACCATATTGAGCTAGAAAAAAGTAGCTTACATATTTTCAATGACAATTACAAAACAGACTCAACTGCATCAATAGATTCAAAATAACATCACTCTACATATGCTTTAACTTTCGGATACAGATTACAGTTTAAATATAAGTCAATAGCAAAATGTACAAAGATTTTCCTTTCATGTTAACTTTTTTCCTCCCCAAAGTGCACTTACCGATGGTGATCTGACTGACGCAGCTGTAGAAGGTTCCTGAAGAGACATTGTAGCTGCCACTGCTGGGCTCACGGTCTATGACAAAGGCAGACATCAGGTAAACTCTTTACATCCAAACCACTTATGATCACCAAAATCATCACAGTCATACTTTCATGTACTTTTTCTTCCATTTTGGATCTGTACAGCAAAAAATGTTTTCCTGGTTTGCAGAGTGTCAATAAAGTGTGCACTAAGCCACTTACAGCACTGCTCCTGGCAATTTGAGGAAAGTCATGACCCTGCATTTTTTGTCTAAATGTTCAGAGTATTATTTCAATAAATACTTATCAACAGCTTTTTAATTGTTTTTTATGTAAATTGATTGGCTTATTTAGTCTGTATCTGTAAATGATGATCTTTTATTTTTAGAAGACTGCTTCAAACTGTAAAGAAATGGCAAACATTCAGAGGGATTCAAGTGAAAACACTTATTCATTGCTGTTTCTAGCATTTTACAATCACCGAAATTATTCTAATGGTAAAAGATGGCTAACTAGCAGCAGCAGTGCAAACTGCAAGCTACAAATTACTTCCGCCTACTCTGGAGTAGAATACAAAAAATAGCTCCTAACACAGGTGCATATCTTCGGATATAAAAAATAACGCTTTAACAATGACATTACTAAAAACGTCTTACTTACCTCGTCACTCGACATTTTTCCGTAAGAAAGCCTTTACAAGGGAAATGTTATCCACTGCTGAAACTTGACTCCTTGTGAATGTGAGTTGAGGGGGTTGGACTCGGAGGTGTGTTGCTGGAGTAGAGAGGAGGCTACAGCATGGAGGAGGTGTGGCCAAACAGCCGTTTGTTTTGATTTCATGTTGGTGCTCAAGGGCGACATCTACTGGATCAAAAAATCGCATATAAAGCCTTTAAAGAAAGATGACATATTCCTGTGTATATCTTTTTGCAGTAAAAGGGTAGAAACATATAAATCTTTAAAGCTTAATTCTTAAATATGTACTGTATGTGCAAAGTCACAATTTAAAGTAATGACAAAATGAAAAGTGCTATATTGAAATGCAAAATTAACTACTACCAGCCTTCAATAGCCCAAATAGTTTCATTTAAAATAGTTTTTGGCCTCTGACAAAGGAATAGCCAATCAGATTTCAGGATTATTAGGATGCACCAGGGGTGTCAAATCAGATAAAAAAGCCACTACATTTTGTTTGAACCTCACAACAAAATAATGAAATAGGAGTTAAAGATGTATACAACTTTACATATGGGAGCAACTGTGACAAATTAAAGTTTCAAACAACGTTACTAGTGTTTCATTGGTACACACTGCAATAAATATACATATAGAGTTATCTGAGTATCTTGATGAGAAACATAGCTTGCAATCACTGAGTTTCCGTGGTCAATTAAAAAAATAGCCTTTGACACTGGAAACTCGAGGCTTAATTTGGAACTCCATGTTATCAAGGGAGATAGAGGTTAAATCATTACTCTGCAGCAGAGGGAAAAGACTCTGTGGCAATGCAGTCGCTACTTGAAGGACACCCCTTGCAGTTTTGCATCAGACCGAGAACTGAATGCAAACACTTCTGCTCATGAATCTATTAAAGAGAACTTCTGTGGAAAAGTGCTCATGTCCTAATTCTCTAATCTAACACCTACAGGCCACAGTACAAAAAAGCAACTGCATTTCTCACTGACTGATGAGAGTCTGCTCAGCATAAGCACTCGCATGTGCTTCTATCTTTAGAGTAAGGCTGCAGGTATCATTTATTACTGAAGTTGTGGCAACTGTTTTCTAGTTTCATTATTTCACGATGTTTTCAACCTAAGGCAGTTGCAACTTTAAAATAAAGAGCACTCAAATAATCGTGTTTCCTTAATGCATAAGGTGAATGAGTTAGATTTTGCCATGAAAAATCAAGAGATAGTGATACCAGTCTGTTGTGGCAAACTAAAAAAAAATAAGCTCCAAGCAATAAATATGATTCATTTTGTAACATTGCATCCATCTGGAGGACAATGAAAACTAGCATGACAGTCCAAGGAAACTCCTGCTGAAAATGTAATAAGAATAATTCATATTTCTTATGTGGTCAACTGACAGCACCATCGAAGAAAACTCACAACCAAGTTTATTAATCCTCTTTTTTTTCCCCCCTTTTTTTTTAACTCAACGGTGGGATAGCCTGCACTTGTGCTTTATCTGCTCTGTATGAATAAAAGTTGTCCCCCCCGGGCAACAAGGAAAACAGAATAATAGGAGAAATTAGCAACACATGATGACATATCATAGTTAAAAGTATCCTCTGGCAGATGTTTTTTTTTTCTTTTTTAGTATCATACACTGCAGAATGCCTTTACCTCGGATCCGGAGGAGAGACGCTTCGCGATAGCGCGGCGAGGACTGCACGGACTTCCCGGACAGACCCGCACACCCTCGTCCTGACATTGGAGGCAGATGACCTGGCTCTCCTGACCTTCTCCGACTCTGCCGCACCCCATGTGCTCGCCCCCCGCCTGGATCTTCATACCTGTGTTGATCCGACGGACCAGCCGCATGTCTGCCGCTGCTTCATGCTCGAGCATTCTCTTTACAAGCGGAGGTCACAGTTATCATAACGCATGGCTTGGCTTTGTTGTATTCAAGCGCTTATTTTCCAGACTTGTCCCCCAATATCAGCTCACCTCCGCTCCATCATGCCAGCCTATCTCTGCGGCTTGGGTTGGTTGATGTTGCGGCTCCTTACGCACGGCTGAAGGCGTGGCTGCTTCACGTGTTGGTTAGGTCGCAGTGTCAAGTTGCCGTGGGAGTTTTAATTATCAAAAATTAAGCGTACATGAAGGAAGGTCTCTACTAAGTACAGAAGAGACTCCTCACTTTATAAATTAAGTAATTCTGAAGATTCTGCAGGGGGTTCCTGATGACGTACCAGACCGTAACTAGGAATTTCAGACTTCCAAGTAGTGCTGGGCGATATGGCCTAAATTTGATATCACAATATTTTTTTGCCTAATGTCGATATTCAATATGACTCGATATTTATCATATTAAAGTTTATAAATGTAGCTTATAAAACTGAAACGCCACTGTATAAAAAA